AAAGCAGCTGATCATCCTTGAAACACAACCACCAACACCTCAGGACTAATTTCTCCAACCACAGTCTTGTACCTGTGGCAGACTTTGTACCCTTACTAAATTATTGCACAATTTCTTTCTGCATGAACATGGAGTGAAACATCAAATTGCCATCTATTTCCATTACCAAGTTGTCTAAACCCACATGGAAGATTTGGAAATGCACCCTAGGGAGGCAATTGAGAGATTTCTAATAAAAGCAATGATTCCGTTTTTGTAACTTTGATGTCAAGGGCCAAATGTCTAATCTGGCTCTTCCCTTTGCTCTGTGGCACACAGCAAAGGGCAGTATTAGACTACACTTCTGCTAAGCAAGAAAAGGGGTAGGGTACCCATTTAAAAATGGGACTTCATTTGAGTTGAAATGCAATTAAAGACATTGGTCCCATTGGAAATTGAGAAGAGCCCCCGCGAGAGCTCAGCACCTCCTGATGTGGAGGAGCTACTCTACTGTCTGTTCTCAGGCATTCCCTGTAAGTACTCCCTCGGAGACCTCTTGCCTTAGACGGGGAGGCCGTACCTGTGATACGCTCCGTGACAGCCAGCAGAGCTTCGCCACTCAGTTGGCTCCATTGGTGGCTGAGCTCTTTCATCAGTGATACTTCATCTACAAGTGAAACACACGTTTCTGCTCACTCTTCTGAGGTCATAGGAGAAAGGACAGTGGAGAGCGAAAGGGCAGGGGCAACCCCATTTTATACAATAAAGTCCATTTCTGCTGATTTTTGAATCCTTTTCTTCTTTCCTTCCAGCCTACTTGGTGGGGTTTAAAATTCCAAAAGAAAAGCTCTCCTTTCACTTTTGCAAATCCAGAGTTGTCTGCTCTACCAAGAGCTATGTTAAAACATTTTGCATCAGGGACCTCCAGAGTTCAGTCACATGGAAGCAGTGAAAAGGTTCTGCACCCCAGAGCAAAAAGGAAGAAGCTCATATTTGGGACACAGAAAAGCACTGACTCAGGCAGTTCATGACTTCACAGAGCAGCTGAGGTGGAGAGAGTGGAAACTGCCCTTGAAGACCTGCCTCTTCAACACTCCATTTTTCAGGCATATTCCCCCAGTGTGGCATTTTCAGAGCTGACTTCAATCTGTGTGGCAAAGGAATTTTCAGCAGCCCTTGCCTCTGTCGGTATTTGCCATTGCCATCTTGCCCCATGCAAAACAACATGTGGAACAAGGCATCATTGACAGATGGATTTAGACCCATTTGTTATAAAGAAATGAACTTGATGAATCCTAAGTTCCCCATTGAAAAAAGAAGACACAGAAGAAAGGTGGAAAACAGGCAGCTACTGCCTATAATGTAGAGCCTCCCAGGTGGCTGCTCTGCAGAAGCTCTGATGGGCCGGTGTCCCTTCATGCCAACACCAAAGCTGTTCATTTGGCAAGTCAGACAGGGCCCAAGCAAACTCCAAAACCCCTTTGCCTCTGAATTGCAGCAAAGCTGTTTTCCAGGACTTTCTCTTCAGACCAGCAGTACAGAGCCATGGGTGCCAGGGACTGTTGGGAAATGCTGCTGCACATTCCAGCCTGTTGGGGATGGTGCATAAGGAGTGCACCTCCACAGCTTCTGGTGGGTGTCAGCTGGAGCGTTCCACAGACAACAGCAGCTACCAAGGCACTCAGCGTTCTCTTGTGCCGGAGAGAGAGAGACACAGGTGAGGAGAGTCCATGCCAGGGCTCAGCCTTACCCAAGTGAGTGACAGATTGGTCCAGTGCCTTCAGAGCTGCGGCATGAACCCCGGGATCCTTTGAGTTTAGGTTCTTTGTTATCCCTTCAACCAAACGGACCATCACCGGGTTCAGGGCATCCTTCAGGAGTCCTATGATTTCTGCCAGCACCTCCAGCGCCTTCTGTTTCACTTTCTTATGTGTGTCAGAGATTCTCAGGACAAAATGATCAAAAATCTGTGAAGAGAACAAACAACATGAAAGCTTGATTAAAATGACCTTTTTTGAAGGGGGGATGTAGAAATGAGCACTCAGCAATATGAAAGATGAAAGTGATCCTTTCTGTCAGGTCAGCCCTTGCTTGCACAATTTCACTGTTTTCCTCTGGGCCACTCACTGGAATGGTTACACAACCTTATGCTGCTTGAAAGATTTTCATCTGCGTTTAAGAGGTTTGGTTGGGGATAGAAAAGTTCCTATGGTGTTTCTCTCCACCTATAAATCATTAAATCAATTCCATTTATTAATTAAAAAGACTACCTTTGCTTTACAAGTGTGGAAGCAGATATTTACAATGCCCATTTTTCTATACAATTGCCTCAAGTATTGAGGTCAGCTATGATTTTGCCAAAACTATGGCTGGAGTTGTATTTTGTCTGTCTCAGAACCTGTGTCTGGAGAAGGGCAGGGCTCTGATCAACTCTTCCAGCATCCAGACCATTTCTCTGACTAACAGGTGGACTTGTGAAATGTAATGTGCTGTACAGCTCTCATTCGAGCAGGTTCAGTCCCTTGACAGCCACATTACAGGCACACTTTTCTGGAAAAAGGGAAAAAGCAGCTGCTGGGAGGAGAAAGGATGGATCTGTCCTTATTTGTTTTTTTCCTTTCCACAGAGAAAAAAAGGCCTCCCAAGAAGGGTGAGCACCATCTTTACCAAGAGGAATAGGGACGAGGATGGAAATGAGTTTTACCTGTGCAAGACAAGATGGAGTTTACAGAAGTATCCTTTTAAAAACATTTGTTTAAACCAACCCAGCCTGATACTTCTCTTCCCCATGCAATCCCATTTTTTCTCTAGAGAATAATTGCCATGTTTTCAATGGTTAATTCCCTTCACTTAACCCAACTGGGAGTAAGAGACAGCAGAGGTTACACCAGCAGAAAATTCTGCCATCATCTGATGAACAGCAGTAATAGGCACCTGCCAGACAAATACAGCTGGACTGAAATAACTCGTCCTGAAGCCTGGAGCTCAATTGATTTGTCTGGATAAGAGGGGCCAGCCTGTCCCAAACAGCCAGGATGTAGTGCCCAGACACACTGAATTAACTTTACTTCTGCAGGCTTGGGAAAGGAGCTAAATGAAAGGAGCAATGAAGATATCCTACATACTTGGACAATGTTAGTGGAGATCAGCTGGGGTCTGGTTTTGGACAGGTCTAGGAGGAGTGCCACTCCTTCCATCCGTGTCTGGAACCCCTTGGCTTCCAGGAGATGGTAAAGCTTCTGGAGCAGCTCCCTTTCTTCCACAGCTGCAGGTAATGTGACCTGGGCTCTTGCACGGTGTTGGCGGTGTCCATCAGTGGCAGACTTTGCCCTGGAAAACAAAACCAAATTAGGACCTGTTGCTGATAATACCTTCAGTTAATTGTGAGCCAAACATCTTGAGGAACTTTCCTAATGATGTGATTTCAAGCTAGAAAATCATGAGGCTCTGAAGAACAACGTGGACCTCGTGACAATCATTACGGGAAACAATCTCAAGTCACATTCTCCCAGTGCTCACTCAGGAAAACCAAGGATGAGATGCATCTGATCTATCTTCAGATGGCTTCTAAGACACACAGGTCACATTGCTTTGTGGGGAAAGAGAAACACTACTTCCAACTTTAAATGCCTCCTCATATGGGACATGCGTGTCTTATAATAAGGAAACTCATCACTCTGGAGAAGTGTCTCTATAACCAGGCATGACAATCTGCAAAAGTAGCTCAGATGCATCTGAACAGATGAACAGGGGCGTATTGTAAGGATATCCAGAAAATCAGTAACAGAGAGAAAAACAGAAGCCAGACATCCCAGAACTACACTCACATTTCATTTGCTTCCCTAGAGACTAGATGCACAGCTTAACAAACCCACTGGGAATAATCCTCTTGGATCAACCTATCTCTTCCATGAGCATGGGAAGATGCTAGCTATGCTACTGAGGCATGTGCTCACTTTCCTGCCACCGCTGAGCATGACAGAGCTAAATAAATCCCCTCTGTTATCAGAGGAGAACAGTACAAGTGGCTCTGCCACTGGCATTAAGAGAGACAGCAAGGACCAAATTCCTGTCTTAAATGCTGATTGCAGCACAGGGGGAAATAAACCAAACACGCTGTCCATCAAGCAAACTGTATGAAGGACAGGAATCTCAAGACAAAAGTCCACCTTGAGACACCTGCTGACCAAAATGGCTTAGGAATTGTCTTGCTCCTTACTACTCAAACTTGGTACTCTTTGAGGGTAAGAAAACCAACAATCAGCCATGCCAAGCCTCATGGAAGGGAACCGCTTGTTTGAGGAATGGCATCCTGCTTCTAGACTGGGACTTCTCATTGAAAGACCCATCTAAAAAGGACTCCACCTGGATGAAAAAAAGCCGTGGTTGGATTTACTTGTCTGAAGTCAGGCATCAGAGACTTGGCCCTCTCCTAGCCTCCACAACCCTGCCCTTGCCACTGCACTGGATCATCTGAACTGCAAGCAACTGGTGACTTTTTGTCGCCCAATTTTTGTGGAAAGCCCTCCAGAGAAGCGGTGTTCAACACAATGCAGAAATAGACATTTTTTATCCTAGAGCATTTGGGGAAATAAACCAAACACGCTGTCCATCAAGCAAACTGTATGAAGGACAGGAATCTCAAGACAAAAGTCCACCTTGAGACACCTGCTGACCAAAATGGCTTAGGAATTGTCTTGCTCCTTACTACTCAAACTTGGTACTCTTTGAGGGTAAGAAAACCAACAATCAGCCATGCCAAGCCTCATGGAAGGGAACCGCTTGTTTGAGGAATGGCATCCTGCTTCTAGACTGGGACTTCTCATTGAAAGACCCATCTAAAAAGGACTCCACCTGGATGAAAAAAAGCCGTGGTTGGATTTACTTGTCTGAAGTCAGGCATCAGAGACTTGGCCCTCTCCTAGCCTCCACAACCCTGCCCTTGCCACTGCACTGGATCATCTGAACTGCAAGCAACTGGTGACTTTTTGTCGCCCAATTTTTGTGCAAATCCCTCCATAGAAGCGGTGTTCAACACAATGCAGAAATAGACATTTTTTATCCTAGAGCATTTGTAGGGAAAGGAGACAATCTTTGGCACTGGTCATCTCCACCAGAAAGATTTGCCTGAGGAAGAGGCATGTAAAGCTTGTCATGGGCTTTGTCACGTCTGGCAAAAGTGCTCAGTACCGTTTGTTAGAAGGCGATGTGGCCTGGGGCTTCTTCGCACCATCGCTCCTCTTCTCCACCGGCTCCTGCACAGATGGGCATTCAGCCTTCTGGTTTTCCATCCCCTACAGAGACACAGAGAAACCCCATCAATCTTTAGAATATAAACTAGGAAATTCCCTCTTTAAAACACCAGTTAGAACCAGGATCACTGCTACCAAGGCTTAGGGAAACATTTCCTAACTTACAGAAATAAACAGACCAGAGATTCAGTGATGCCAACTCTTTGCTTTTGGTAGCCCAAGGCAGGTTATGGGTGCTACCCTACTGAGCTGCTGTCTGAAATCCCAAATTCATTAGTCTTGAGCATAAATGGGAATAGTGCCAACTGGTAGGCAATGAGTGGTCTTAAAGGAAGTAGCAGAAAAAATTGGACTCTTTCGGGGCTGGCCCATTGTGTTGGAAGTTGATTTGGTTCAACACTTACTCTCCCTGCTCCTGCACAAAGGCACACTCCCTTCTGTAAAATCCCCCCCAATCAAACAAATTATTTTCCAGTGGATCCTGCTGAATTTACCAAGCTTCTTCCAGCTCCACAGGGCTTGACAGCAGGGCAGTATTCCCAAAAGACAGACAATAATTGTAGTAACTAGGATTGACTTGGACATCTTTTGTATATTTGGAAATTTTCTTGGTGCTACTAAGAGACTTAGAGTCTCTTTTGCAAAGACTCTGTTATGTTCAGAAGCACTATTGTCACTTAATTGCTTTACTGAGGGCAGAGTGCTGTGGGGGCTTACACGTGAATGTAAACCCATTTTCTCCTCTTTCCCTTTCCTCTTTGTGACCCATATTCAAAGTATTCAAAACCCCACTTTTCCCCTAATAATACAGTTCCTCTGTGGTCTGCAGAAGAACAGGCTGAGGATTAACAGCTCATTCCCAGAGGCAAAATGATTCAGCAGAAGAGGAATGAGATAAAGACACACTGGGTATGGTTGATCTCGAATTAGCAGTGGCAATACTTGCACAAAGGAGAAATTTCTCCTGCCAAGCACTTACTTTCTTCTTAATTCTCTTCAGGATATCTTCCAGGTCATGCGTGGAAAGAGATTGTTCCAAAAGCTTTTTAAATTTTTGATGACTAAGCAACATCTTCACCATCTCCTGTCCATAATGCCTAAGGAAGGAAGGAAGGAAACAAAAGAAAAGTGAACAAAGGAAGAGGGTTAACAGAAGAGGCTGATGCCTTGAATTCATCAGGTGCAATCCTTGCATGAGAAGGCATTACCTACACTCAGCAAAGAGGGAGATTTACCTCCCTTGACACTGGGGCCACAGAAAAATACCATTTCTCTCTGAAACTGGGGGTGTGCTTCTGGGGGATCAAAGCATGCCAGGCAACAAGGGAAACACATCTGCTTTGTTGTCAGAGCCTATTAGCAGTGTCCTGCTGCCCTTGCACATTCATTTTCCTTTCTTTAACTGGCAGGGAAGCCAGGACAAAACACCTCATCCTTGCTTTGGATTATTCTATACTATCTTTATGCACATGGGCAGTTAGTTGCTCTGGTGTTCCTGGCACCTATTAATGGGAATTTCATCATCCAAGTAAGGGGATTTTGGTGGCTTGGGGTGATTTTGCCACTAGGAAACCACAGTTTTCTTCAAGAAGAAATTTGGGCATCACTGAGCCTCAGATAATAGCATTCTAGAATGCTATTAGCATTCTAGAATGCTATTATCTGCAGAAGTGGTTTAGAAGGACTGAATACATTAGCTAGAGACCTCTGAAATATTTCTAAGTCATAAGTTAATGAGAAATACATGTTTGGGATCCTTCAGTGATGAGTATTAGCCAACACTTTGTCTTTCTCTTGTGCACCTAAGGCCAAAAAAAACTGTTGTACTGGCTAATTGGAGCTCTTTGGATCTCAGTAAAGAATCTTTCAAATCACAGGAAGTTGGCAATGCTCCTTGCTGCCAACCTCAGGTTACCCAGTACAGTCATTCCCCAGGCAATCTAGAGCAGTGGTCACAGCACCAAGCCTGACAGAGCTCAAGAAGCATTGGGACAATGCTCTCAGGCATATGGAGTGACTCTTGGGCTGTCCTGCACATGGCCAGGAGCTGGACTGGATGACCCACATGGGTCCCCTCCAACTCTGCATATTCCATGATTCTATGCCCCTTAGCCACACTGTGAAGTCACTTATGATTTCCTTGAGTTTCCACTCTTTTCTGGTTTTAACTTAAAGCCAGACACAAAACGGTTTTCCTGTTTTAGGAGGTGAAATGAAGATCATTACCTTGTGTCCTTGTGACTGTCCTGAGCAAATGTCCCTGCCACCTGTGCCAGCCTCTCAGCCCTGGGTGTGGCTGCGAGCTTCGTGACTCCCATTTTCTCCATCAAGGACAGGAGGAGTTCGGCCGCACACTTCCGCGCCGGGATGTAGCAGCTCCTGGGAAGGAGAAAGCAAACCCTGAGGCACAGGGAGGAGGAGCAGCAGCAACACAGGCCTTGGCCACAGCCTGTTCCCTGTCCTTGCTGGGGGAAGGAGCCTGGCTTCTCCTTGCTGCTGCAGACACCTGCAGAAGGTTCTGTCCTCAGTTAAACACAAAGTTCGCATTGTTCAGAAGGGCTGGCTGCACGGAAAAGGGAAGAATTCAGTCTCCCTGCACTATCTGATACTCAATTTCTTTCCCAGAATTTACTTGGAGAAAGATTAAAGTAATAGATTACATATGAATTATTTAGAAATTAAGGACAATTCATGCTGACCCATTAGAGGGCACCCACTATAAAGAGCTGCAGAAGGATGAGGCTCTTTCCACCCAATCGTCCCCAAATCTGCAGACCCCTGGGAAAACACAAATGCAGGGAAAACATGCTGTGGGTCGTGAAGTTGTGGAATATCCAGCAATGCAGCCTGTTTCTTTTGTAAAGCTTGGCAAGGGATACATCTGAGTGTTTTACCCTATTCCAAAGCTGAGGAAAGCCTGGCAGTCAGTTTAGGCAACTTGTCCTGTTCTAGAGACTGTCTCTTGGGAACTATCAGGCCCAGCACCAACACTTAAGGCAGCATTTGCTTCAGCTGTCCCATGGCACTCGGCCTGTCAGGGTGCCTGGAAAGTGCTTCAACATTTCAGGGCTAACATGAAACATCAGTTTGAATAGAAAGTAGAGCTCTAAGGCCAGGACACTCATACAAGGCTCCTTTTGGCAGGAGCTTTTGACACCTGCTGTGCAGGCTGTGCCACACCCAGCACATTCTCCCTGATGTGCTCCACACCAAGCAAGTACCCTCCTTATTTCTCAGAAATGAGAAATGAGGTTGATCAGCGAATCAGGTCACTGAGTCCACAGAAGATGCAGGATACAGGACCCTTCCCTTCTACCATTCCCATTCTCTCTCTCATCCCTTCCCTCACCCACACACTGGAAGGTCAAGAATATCACAGAAAGAAGAACCTACTTGACTCCCTTGTCCATGAGAACGGTCATTGCTCGTGCAGGAGTCACGTTCTCTACCATCATCCCCAGGCTCTGACAGGCTGCCTTCTGAATAAACTCTGGGGAGTTCCTCAACATGTGGAGAAGGACTGCAGCAATCTCATCCACCTCAGAGTCCATGTTCTTCCCCAAGATCGCAAAGAGCTCTCCCAGAGTGACAATTGCAGAGCAGGACACCTTGGACCGGAGGTTGGTCACCTGGGGAAGTCATGAGGGGAAACATAAGAATCCCCTTGAAAAGAAAACCAGTTTCCTTAGACAAAACTCCCAGGAAATCACAACGCATCCCACTGTGTACAAAAGCACAGTAGGAGCAGAAGAGCCCAAGCACAGAAAGGCACTTCCTCTGGCACCAATTTCTGGCCACACACCTGCATACTGCAGGCATAAAAAAATAGGTTTCACTAAAGTGTTCCACTTAACCCTTCTATAATGTCAACTGCTTTGATTTTAGGCCCTTTTATTTGAAAAACAAGCAAATGAAAGAAAGGGCTGCTTTGAAAACATAAAGGCACAAGTCATAAAGATAAAACAGTCAGATGCTCCTGTTCCAAAAAGCAAAACCTGTAGCTGAAGGACTCAGGCAGGAAACAGAAAACTCAGGCTCAGGTCTACAGACTCATTTGCAGTGTTCAATTACAGCTTGGGCAGAGATTGGGACTCTGGCATATCATGTCATTAGTGTCTCATTTCTGCCTTGCATTACAATGGTACCTCACTCACAGACAAGTGTCAAATACCCGACCTGCCAGTAAATACAGCTGCATGTACACACAGATCCTACAGATAGCTGACAGACATTCGAAATAGAAGGTCTAAAACCAGAAATGAAGGCAGTCCCTGAGCACACATGGAGATGAACAAGCACATATTCTACTCTACAAGCCATGTATGAAGTATGGGGGACAATTCAGAGCAATGTTCTCACCTCGCTGGTAACTGCCAAGCAAATCTCACGAAGTCGACAGAGCAGGACTTCTGAATGGGACTCAGCCAGCAGTGTGATGTTCAAGAGTCCCTTCTTCTTCAGTTCCCTGCAAGGCAAGTACCAAAAAGATTGATTTTTCTCTCTACCCAAGCACTAGGCAGCACCCACTGAAATCACCAGGCTAGCAGCTCAGTCAAAGCATGGGAGGTGCTTTTCAAGGAGTCCTGAATGAAATCGTGGAACACATTGCCACAGGATGCTGTGGCTGTCAAAAGCATACACAGATCCAAGAGGCAAATAGAGGGCTTTCAGAGTCTTCATTTGTGACCTTTCTGAAAATCTTTGCTATTAAGTCCCTCTGTCACTGCTTCCTAGAAGCTGTGAGGCCAGGCGATGCTGCTGTTTCTTGCCACCTCCCTGTACCTGTCCCTGAGACACGGTCCCATTGGGCTGTTACTGGGACATTTTCCTTCTTTGTCAGCCCCAGCAGGTAGTTCAGCACTGAGAGCCTGCACTGGCACTCAGGAGCTGAGTTTCCACTCTACAATCAGGGCCTGTGTGTCACCCACTCCACTCCACCTCACACATTCCCCAAAAAAGCAGCAAGATGTCCCAGAAGATTAGGATTCCACCCCTGGGCAAGAACTGTAGAAACTCTGGCTCTTCCCAGAACACTCCTACCTAAAACAACCCCCACAACAGCAATGTTATTTAAAAGGTGCAAACAACTCCATCTCTCAGCACTTGCTTTGTGCAGGCCCTCAGCCACAGGAAGGAATGTGAGGCATCAGGGCTGCAGCCAGGGCTGGCAACTGATCCCACGGGCACCCTGAGTGTCATCTGGACCCCCCACACCTGCCGAAGCTCTCTGCACCTCACAGGGCACCAAACAGAAATGGGGAAGAGAAAGCAGAAGGGAAAGGGCAAAGCAAAGGAGACTGCACAAGGAGATACATCGTGGCAAATTTTTCATGCTTATCCGTGTGAGAATGAAGCATCCACCAGTGAGTGGGTGCTAACCCAGACATCAAAAAGACAACCAATATCACCTAACATTTGTAAGGTTATCATCTCTGGGCCTCCTTCTGTCTGTGTAGAATTTTGGGACACATTGTGAGTATTGACAAAACATCTCAAGCCCGTATGAATCCATGAGAAGGAAAAGTTGAATTCCAAAAGTGCAAGATTCCTAGAGGATTTTATTTCTTTTTCCTTCTCTTCTGCCATGAGCCTTTAAGAGTAATGGCAGGCTGAGGGACTTGAAGGCACAACTCAGTCCATTTCTCAGAAAGAGGAGCTACCTGGAGCTGCTTCTGGGACTCACATGCAGGAGTCCCTGCCATCACTGTCAGCAGTGGGAGCAGAGAGGAATCTTACTCAGTCCCACTGGCCCAGTGGCCCAAGGCACCCAAATCTCTACACTCAGAACTGCTGCCATCCTGTTTCTGCCTTCAGCCAGCAAACCATCTCGTCCCACAGCTTTCTCTCTTCCCTCAACATTTCCTTTGCAGCTCCATGGAGCAGCAGCCAAAGCCAGGAAACAGCATGGACCTGCTGCAGCTGGAGCAGTGCTGCAGAGCAAAGCCAAGGAAAGGCTGCTCTCCAATCTTTAGCCTCTCACAGCTCTGCAGTGGTTTCAGCAGTGCCCTTTGGCCCTCTGGGCTCTTGGGGCTCACAGGCACCAGCAAGACATGCTTCAGACTGACCTTAACGCTAAGAGAGACACAGAGTGATGGGGCCTATCTTACCAGTCATCGCTGCCCAGAAAGGCCACTGCCTCCTGCAAGGCCTGCTGTGGGTCTGAAAAGGCTCTGTGCTTCTGCCTATGCCCACGGAGCAGCTCCTCTCGGCGCTTGGCACCAGTGGCCGTCTGCGATGTCACTGCAAGGAGAGGGTCGGCCATGGGCGCTGCAGGCCGGGCAAGGCACCCGCCATGGAGCGGCCTGCAGCCCCATCTCCCAGCCAGGGTTCCCTGTGGCACACACTGCCACTGGGGCAGAGACTTCCCTGCTCTCTGGATCCCGGGGTTCCTTCCTTTCTCCCAGCCTCCTGCAAGGCCTGCTGTGGGTCTGAAAAGGCTCTGTTCTTCTGCCTATGCCCACGGAGCAGCTCCTCTCGGCGCTTGGCACCAGTGGCCGTCTGCGATGTCACTGCAAGGAGAGGGTCGGCCATGGGCGCTGCAGGCCGGGCAAGGCACCCGCCATGGAGCGGCCTGCAGCCCCATCTCCCAGCCAGGGTTCCCTGTGGCACACACTGCCACTGGGGCAGAGACTTCCCTGCTCTCTGGATCCCGGGGTTCCTTCCTTTCTCCCAGCCTCCCCCAGCTGGGCACAGCTCCAGGCTAAACCTGACAATTGCCCCCACAGCCCCAGCTCCCAAGGGCCACAGCTGCCACAGCCAGCAGCCGGTTCCTGAGGCCGCAGAGCTCCCGCTCCCTGCCAGGCAGTGCTGACAGCAGGACTGGCTGGCCCAGGAGGGAACCCCTCAGGTGCCTCTCTTGTCTCAGCACCCTGATTTCCCCCAGCCCTGAGGACAGGGGCTCTCTGCAAGTCCCTGAGGAGAGACCTGCAGCTGCCTAGAGACAGCACCAAGCCAAGCCTGAGCAACCCAGCCCTGCTGGGCCTGGCTCAATCCCCACGGAGCAATGACCAGGGAACAGCGACACCTGACCCTTCACACCTGACAGTGCCTCTTTCCATCGACTACAAATATTCTAGACTACCAAGCTGAAGTAACTCAAAAGTGGATTTGCTGTTCATTCTCAGGACAGATTATGGACCCAAGATCCCAGCTGTGCTGGCTAAGGCAGGAGGCACTTTGTGCTCCATTCCCTTCAGGGAAATGCTGCCACGGAGAAGGCTTACCTGAGGAGCTGCCATCTCCATGGATGGTGGGTGTACTGGGCAGAATGGGCACCTTGTCCTGCTCTCTCACGACCGTTTTCTTCATGGCACCACCAGGGTGTTTTCTCTGCACACTGGGAGCCGTGCCATTGGTAGGTGGTAGGCTAAAGCCTGCAGGGACCAAAGAGGAGCTTGTAAGTGAAGAGTGCTGGACAGGGTGATGATGGAAAGGGCCAGAAAAGTTGCTGGACCTGGGTAACATCTCGTTATTGTCCCAAAGAACTTCAAGTACAACAATGGCACACTAACATGGGACAGTGAGCACAGAATCCCAGAGGAGCTTGGGCTGGAAGGCACCTTTAACCATCATCTATTCCAACCCCTGTGAGCAGGGATGCCTTAATCTAGATCAGGTTCCTCAGAGCCCCATGTAAACTGGCCTTGAACACCTTCAAGGATAGACCAACAACAGCTTCCCTTGGCAAATCCTTCCAGCTTTTCATCCTCTTCATTTAAAAACATTCTCCATCATATCTAATCTAAATCTACCCTCTTCTAGCTTAAAAGCAAACTGCAGTGACACTTCCCCTAAGAAACAAGGAAAACCCAGTATTGCTTTGCTTTTGTTCTCCTGCTCCAGAGGCAGGCAGGGGAAGTTACCGAAGTGCAGATAACCTGGTGTGATGCCTCCCGAGGGCCCTGCTGCCGCCCTCGGGCAGCCCTGCAGGCAGAGCCCCTCAGCCAGGATTCATTCGGGAATGCTGCTTGCTCCTGGGGCTACAACAGAAGCCCTGCCAGGGGCTTCAGCACAGCTCTGCAGCGCCAGCTCCTCAGCAGGGAGTGGCAGGAGAAGGATCTCTGGAGTTTTCATCAGAAGGAATGGAATTTTGTTTTTTCCAGGTTGCACCCCGGTTGAAAAGCATTCTTTCAGCCTCACCTTCCCTGGAGGCTGCTCTCCAGGAGAGAGTCTGAAGCCCCAGTGTACTTTCTTTGCAAGACAGAATTTTCTACTCTGAAAGACTTTACAAGTGGAGGTGGGAAGCTGATACTCTTTTACTGACTCAGTGAGGCCATGGGCAAGACACTTCATGTCTCTGTATTTTTCTTTGGGAAGCAGAATTAAATCCTAATGCAGCTTCTTACTCAGGTGCAAGCAGAACAGCCCCCCAGTCTGATGGCAACATTGTGCAAGTGGTCAAAAAGGACCACCACAAGTGTAGCCACCACTTACTTGCTTTAGCTGCATCCCCAGGCTCAACTGTCTCTGGAGGAAGCTGCAAAGATTTTTCATTTTGTCTCCTCTTCATCTCTTTTCCCAAAAGCTCCATTTTCTTCTGCTCTACGTTCTCCTCAGCCAACTTGCACAATTCAGCATGGATCTAGGTGCAATGGAAAAACATCACAGACTGTAAGCAGAGATACACAAACCAGACACAACATCTCATCAGGAGCAGAGAGTCCATAGAGTGCCATGGTCTTCCATGCAGCTCCGTATCCATTCCAAAAGTTTCAGAGGAATGTCTCCCGTCCTCACCTTGGCAGTTACACACAGTGAGGTGGAACAGTTTAGTGCCACAACCTTACACTGCTGCAACTGCAACCTCTGTCAGGAAGCCCTCCTTGAAGCATGAAAGTCATAGGAGTGCTCCAAGACAGACGAAGAGCTCACATGACAGTGAGCAGGCAGCTCAGTTCCTACAGGCCATGGCAGGAGAATGAAAACCATGTGCAATACCCAGCAAGGAGGGAGAATGTGCTGTTGCTTAACACTCATGGCCAGGAATTGCAGCTGTTTCTCACTTCCTGGCTTGTGAAGGACTCAGCTCTGAAGGACTTGGTCTCTGAGGCCAGCAGACCAAAAGGAGGAGTCTTGTGAAAACAAGTTGCACAAACGCTGATATTAATGAGCAGAAAACTTGAGAATGAGAGGGCTGTGAGATACAGCTCCTGGGGCTACTCTAATTTTGGCACAAGAAAGGCTACAGGGCCATAAAAGGCATGTGCAGAATGCGCAGGAATATTTTCTTTTTTGCACTGCATTTCCAGAACCCCAAGGTACCACTCCAGCTTCTGCCACTCAACACTTCACACTGGAGGAATTTTCACTGAGCTACCAGAGAACACTCCCAATGACAGGGCTATGGAAGAGTCAAATGAGCCCATCAAGGAATTGAAATTAACTTTTCTGGCCCAGCTAAAGATCCAAACCAGGGCCTGTTCAAATTAAAGGGTCAGTTCCTGTCAGGGATACATTGGGCCCTTTCACTGCAAGGCCGAAATCAAGTGCCCAAGTCTTTGACTGGTCATTCTGTCTACCAAAGCTGTTGTGCATCTGCCTCCTCTGCCAACCCACAGCAAACCCAAAACAACTGCAGGTCCTGGCATTGCTGAAAAGGCAATCGTGTGCCTGGGCTCTGGGCTGATCTCCCCATGGCCACCTCCCCTCCCTTCCCTCTGAACAAAGCCATGCCAGAGCACACAGCTGCCCAGAAGCTGATGAACCCTAGAAATAGCATCAGAGACTGCTGTGCATGGGGCATGGCTGTACAACTCACAAGCTGAGACAACCTGACTTTGCAGGTTCCAACAAACATCTTTTTCCATCCAAAGCAGACACAGTTGACAGAAAACACCACCAAGACGTAGAGGTGCGTCATAGATACCTGTAGGTTACTAAATGGAGGAGGATTGCTTGTCCATATTGGACAGCTTTAGCTGCTCTGACTGCTTGTTGGTGTTTTCTCAGCCATAAGACAGATGAGGAACCACAACACAGCCCAGCTCCAACCTCACCTCTGTGTCAGGCTGAGCCTTGCTCACAGGGGAAGAAGTGAGTTCAGTGAACTCCCACCTTTACAATCAATCCATCTAATGGGTGAGGCATCCAAGGCATGTTTTCATTATTCAGAAGACCTCTCTGTTTTTATTTTTCATTAAACTAGTCTCACTAGAGTTCCTTTCATACAGTGAACTGTATGATGCTGGCAAACCAGGAGAGAATGCTTCTACAACTTCGCTTATGTGTTGTTCATTGCCCATCCACTACGGTGACATTCTTCTAAACTGTGGGCAACCCACAGTGGTCTCCAGAATTTGAGAATTACAACTCAGAAGCAGTTGCTTTCCAAAGGTAGTGTTCATGCCCTGTGTTTCACTAACTCCCACTCAGTTCTGGGTTGGGTTTTATTGGTTCATTGCTTTTATTTCTCTTCACAAAAGAGGAAGCTCTGGCACATGAACAATGGCACCTCATGTTGGAAGAAGCTTTGCAATCCAAGTTACATGTCCCCAGTACTCAAGGAGTCTGGATCTGCAGGGAATAAACTGGCCATTCAACTGCAAATTGCCACTTTTGCTCTGCTTCATTGTTCCATGGGTTTTTCCCCCCTGCCATTATAGGGGGTTTCCCTATTCCTCCCAGTGCAAAACCAGGAAACGTCCATGAATCTTCCTCAAATCTCACAGGGTTCAAATCAGAACCTACCCCAAGGAATGGTTTTCTCCTTCAAGGGCAGGCAGAAAGAGGGGGAACATTTCTCATTTCATGCTTGGTATCCAAGCCATTAGTGAGGAATACCGCCCTCAAAATTGGATTTGTTTCCCTCTGTGGAATGTCCCAGTCAGTAATACAAGAGAGACAGGTAAGGATTAATGAGATAGTTCATTTCTAGTCCAGAAATAATACAGCAAAATTGGCAACTACTCCCTTATGGCATTAAAGATTGTAGCTACATGCCAGCAATGAAGGAGTCATTACTAAGGGGCCATACTATTTTCTTCTCTTTGTTGCAATATTTTAGAGAACATTCAAAGAAAAGCCGAGGGTTGCAGGAGTGATACCCAAACATAAATTGTGTTCTTGACACTACAGCCCCACGGGGCACTGCCAGCAGCACAGCTCATTGCAGGGGCACATGCAGGGCACAGCTGTTCCCTGGCAATGTGCACAGCCTCTCTGGGCTGCCACAAGACCCTTCCTCCCAACAGAGAGCGGCCCAGCTCCCACCTC